GGGGGGGGGGGGGGGGGGGGGGGCAGAAGAGGTGTTTTCGTAAATTTCACTTTACGACGCTCCCATTTGTCCGATTTGAATGATTGTCGCGACATTGGATTCAGGAAGCATGTCGCCATCGCGCTATAAAGCCACATTTTTAAATTTGTCCTCGGAAGTTTGAGAACTAATTTCAAAATCGCGTTTTTTGTAGATTTTGGGGAAAAGGTTATCGTAGCGTAAATTCTATTTTAAAAAGGCGTCAAATGCCGTTTACAGATCGAAAATCGAACCATTGGTTCAGACGTTATCGGTAAAGTAAATTTTACTTGAGAGAGGGAGAGGAGAGAGAGAGGAGAGAGAGGAGAGAGAGGAGAGAGGAGAGAGAGGAGAGAGAGGAGAGAGAGGAGAGGAGAGAGAGGAGAGGAGGGAAGAGAGGAGGGAGAGAGGAGGGAGAGAGAGGAGAGAGAGGAGGGAGAGAGGAGAGAGAGAGAGGAGAGAGAGAGGGGAGAGAGGAGAGAGGGGAGAGAGGAGAGAGGGGACAGAGAGGAGAGAGAGGGGAGAGAGAGGGGAGAGAGGAGAGAGAAGAAAGAGAGGGGAGAGAGGAGAGAGAGGAAAGAGAGAGGAGAGAGAGAGGAGAGAGAGAGAGAGGAGAGAGAGTAAATATCATCTGTAGGTCCACGGTGGGATACAGGATAATTTACTATTGCAACAATTTGGATGGTCAACCCACCCCCAAATCCGCCACAGGGTCACAATATATTGCTGTGCGATTCCCAAAATACCTCTGCCCCCGATTTCTAGAAAACTGAAGCTCAGGCAGGATCACGTCGTGCGAATACCCTTCACAAAGTCACGAATTTCATTTAGCAAATGAAAATTCTGTGTATTAGAGGAAATTATCATTTTTTTAAATTTTCCTATCAGCGGCCTATTAAAAAGGGTAAATGAATTGCACATCGCTATTATATGGCTGGTCGGTGGTCTGGCAGATATCATGGGTACGATTTACACACAATGTATGGGTTTGTATATGTTCCTTAAAAATCTTTTTTAAGGATTTTTAACCGAAAAAATCTGTTGTGAATTCAGATGGTATTTCAGGAAGGTTTCATTGTACGTGAATTATGAGAGATGAATAGAGGGGTTCTGTCTCCTTAAATACGGAACGTACATAATAAATTACGAATTGCTGTCATCTGCTTGGCATGCATGCATTACACTCTTACGTTGCACTATCAATTGTGATGCCATGTTAACATTAGCTGGGACATCTTAGGAAGGAGAAGGACAAGGAGAATATAAAAAGGAAAACATGAGAAGTAGAAAAAAGAAAAGACAAATGGGGCAAAGAAGAGGAAGAAAGAGAATGAAGGAAAAAGAAGAAAAGTAGAAGATAAAAATAAAACTATTGACTTTGACCCGTACTCTGTATTCACAAAATGAAATCATGAATTTTGAACATCCTTATTCCAATATTAAGAAGCCCTGACACAGTGGGGTCCCATCAGCTGTTAAACTAGGACTCACGATCAGATTAAAATTTTCAGGTGGTTGGATTTGCAAGTGACAGCACCAGCTGAAAGTGAGTGATGAACAAGAGGGGTAAGCAAAGGCCAACATTTGAGAGCAGTAGCGTAATGAAATAAGTGGGGGCCACCTCCAAAACGTTTATCTGGTCCTGTTATAAAAGTGTATAGCAAACAAGTATTGTTAGTACCTTAAATAATAATAATAATAATAATAATAATAATAATAATAATAATAATAATAATAATAATAATATCCGCTAAAAGTAGGCTCTTTTTACCCAGTCCCGAATGGGAGAAAAGGGGTGGACTTTTCATACATAGGGGTAGCCATTTACCAGCCGAGTGCGAGACCTACTACAGAGTGACTTTTCCTTATAGCACAGGCAATAATGCACCCCTAATACCTATGTGGTTCACATAGAAAAATACAAGTTACACTGCAAGTTGCGTGCAATACAAGTTTTTAGTTTCTGACCCTGCAATTTACAGATTATTTTTTGTTTTGTTTTTCACCTCTTTCCTAGTTCCAAGTAATCTTTATTCACAATTGTCTGCAGATTTTTGAAAAAAAGTGCTTCCATTATTCACCACTCAATCATCAATTGCCAGCACAATCCTTCAATTTAAAAATTTTATTCATAAATTTGATACCGTGTTTCAATTTTCTGGAATATTATTGAAGTGTGTGAAACTTTGTTACTCTAAGATTACAAACATAAAATTGAGGCATAAAAAAATGTTTAAGATATTCAGTACACTACAGCATTTCGATACAATGTTTTAAAATCTTCTCTGCAAGGGCTTAAATCTTGTCCAAAAACCTGTACTACAGATAAAAAAGTCATTATTTTACGACTTGTGTTGAATGAAGCTTTATTCCATTCATCCAGAGAACACTGAAAAGTTTAACCTTTAAAGAATTGTCCAGGTAGCAAAATCAATGTACGTTCAAGGTTCTTGTACTACAGTCGTTTTTTATTTCTGTAGGGGTGTTCTTATGATTGGTTGATAAAACATCTTCACACAATTCAATCTATCTAAAATCTGTCCTGGATAGGCTTCAGATAAATGCCAAAATGAAACAAGTTCTTAAAAAACATACTGGTTGTCTTACACTAAAAAATCTTTGTAACTCACATTTATATAACTAGTTTTACAGAAAGTGCACAGAATAATGTAGTAAAAATGATTCAAGAAAAGGAACCAGGATTTGGAACAGCACTATATAACTTTGAAATAAAAACAATGTAAAAACATTGGTGAATTGTCAGCATATAATTGTTAACCGATATAAATACACTATGAACAGTCTTTACGTTTTTTCACAGTTCTGCAGATACAATGAAAAGGATACATTTCAAAACAGCAACATAAGAATTAATATTTTATTTAACATTGCATCTATGAATTGGAATTTCCACAAGACAGAATATTAAGAGTTGTGCAAAATAACACTTAAGGACAAGAAACAGCAATTTCTAAAGATATAAATGACCTGTCAGGTCAATTATGCAGAAGAGAGAATACACCTAGTTGTAAAGAATAAAATGAACTTTCTTTTAAATCCATCTCTGCCTAATGTAATAAATATTAAGGAACCATTCAACTGTGAGTTAAGTGCATCGTGTTTCAGTGCAGTTATTTACAGGAGTTTTAAGGCAAAATGTAAAAACAAGGGCCAGTTTAATAAAAATTTGAGGTAACCAAAAACTGAAAAGAAAGTTTTTTTTTATATTAATTATGTATTTAACAACCACAAATAATATACTTAACTAATGTCACAAAGCTAAGCCCAGCCCTTGTTAAAATGTCTAACCACTACTCAGACGCACCAAGTACTTCTAAGCTAACGTATGCCTTCAACTAATATATAGAAAAATTATTTCTCAATTTCATTAACTTAGTTACCATTCTTAATAATAAAATATAGTGGAATTTGTATTTTACAAAATCTAATTCATCTTTTTCATAAAAGAGTTGTAACATTCATAAAAATGTCATCTACAGCTTAGAAGGTAAAAAAAATACCAATTAATTTTCGAATACTAGAGTTATTTAATAATGTATCCACAATTGATTCTTCAGCCATTTGGTGATCAATATATTTGCAGGTAGCAAGGATAATTGCCATTTTGAAATCTTAAGCACAAGTTTTTACATTGCCCGTTTTTACTTGCAATGGTGTCTGAAGCCTTATCCTTGAGAAACCCTTTTGTTGAAGCAGTATTGGGTTTCTAAAGTAAAAAGGCTTCAGTGGACAGAGCATTTTCCAAAAATTCTAAATCTGTGTAAACTTAACTGAGCTTCAGACCTCTGTCTCTGCATATTTTGCAAAAATTCTCATTCTGTTCTCTGGTACAATTATGTACATAACTGATACAAATAGCAATTTCAATCTATATTTAACAGCAGTAGTAGCACAATCTTGTAAGGCAAAACTTGTACATTATTGATTAGCGAACTTTTGAGTCTACTGATAAGAAAAACAAATGGTATTTAACATCCATGTGATTACATAAAACATCTTCACAAGGCGTACAGGATGGCATTTTTTTCCCACAACCAGATGCTAGGCTGGGTTTAGCACAACTGTTAAAAGAACAGATTCATTCCACAATGCATTTTCCACAGGCAATAATTATTTTGCAAATTTTTTAATGCAACAAAAGTTTCATTTTAAAATCAAGAAAAACAAGGGTTTAATCATGCATATGGTCTTTAAATCATTAGAACAAACGATCTCTCAATACAGGAATAAGAAATATAAAACAAAAATCTTGTTAAACATGCAAAAACTCATGGAACTGAATAAAATACCAGGACATTTAATAAAACACAATTATGAAAGTAAATGTAAGAAAATTTATTGGTTTCAACCAAAAAGTTTAATCAGCCTAATGAAGCATTCAAGTATCAACAATAAAACAAGACAATTTAAAGCTACTCTACGAAAGTTCTGCAACTATTTTCAATATCAATCCAGAATTCTACACATCAACCATAGAACTTTAAAAATAGAATATAAATCTTACATCTTTCTTGCTATTATGATTTTATAAATATAACTGTCCCACTGACAATTCATAACCAAGTAATGTTATGAGCAATTAAATATTATTCTATAGCAATAAAAAAAACTAATAAAACCTAGGAAAGATGTCCAAGCAACATTTCTAAGTTTTAAACTGGATCATCAGCATGGAAAGCAAATTGCATGGATAAAAGCACACATACTTTTAATATATATATATACACTTACAGATACTTCTGTTCATCAGTATTTCTCCCTTCCCTTTGCTATGAACATCTACTCAGACTTTACATCAAAATACCATCAGCAATTACAGAAGCATATAATTAAATCTAGCATACATTTATATCCTTTTTTAATATTATGCACTAACCTCCTGCAAATCTTACAAGAATCTATAAGAGTAGAGAGGTTAAGAATTGCATTGCCAGGCACTCTAGGATTCATAATTATCATTCTGTGTTAACAGATCCATAGTCTCAGTTTAGGCCCTTTCAGTGCTAAACCCAGAATTGCAACTGGTGAAATAAAGCGTCTCGCTTCCCTTAAGAAAGGGGCTTCTCTTCTGGAATAGTTGGAGTGGAGGCTGGAGTGATCCCTCCAACACTGCCCTTGCGGCTGCCATCAGCTTCACGCAGAGCATCGTCAAAGCTCTGAGTGGAGTTGGAACGTGATGTAACAACTTTTGTCTGCAAAGGGGTAAGTACGAATACTCAGTCACACTACAGTGAATATCAAAACTAAATGTTATTTGTGAGGATTCAACATTGCAGCCAAAGACAGTCGACCAAGAGCATGCACCAAACATTATTCATGGCCAAGACCCAAGAAAACATGAAATCAAAATGCACAAATATCACTCCTTGATCAAAACCTTTGAGGAAAATCTAAGGATGATGCACAAGAATGTAATTTGATTTCAACAAAAAATAAATAATAATAATAATAATAATAATAATAATAATAATAATAATAATAATAATAATAATAGTAATAATTTTAAAGTAAAAAACTTTACAGGAAGAAGTATAATCTGCACATTTTTTTGAGCTCTGCAACCCCTATTCCACCCTTTTACCACCCCATACATAGTTGAATGATGAATAAAAGTACCAACAAAGAGGTTTGCAATATTTGGAAACTTTCATATTTTCACTCCCTAGTAATACTTTTTGCACTGGTTTTTTTTGCATTGCTAATAAAATAGACACTACACCTGCAGCTCTGTTCCTACCACAACTAGCAAAGAGAGCTCAACAAAACATGTGTTACAATAATGTCCAAAAAAACAAAAGAAGGAACCATCTCAGCATTTGATCAATGGATCAGGGAAAAAAGAGTGAGGATTAGGAATAACAATGGAACTAGGAATTCAGAAATGATTAGGAACAAGAAAGTAAAATACTAAATGAACTTTCATTACTAATTTAGAACCATTTAATCATATGAGTATAGAGAATATATTCTAAAAGAAAAATCCTTTTGTAATCAACTCCTTTAATTTTGAAATGAAATAATGTAAAGTAATATTCAACAAGAAACTAAGAACAAAAGTATAATTCACTAAATTAGAAAGAGAAAAAAAATTGAATGAAATAATTATCTGCAAGAATCACAGCGTTTCCACTAGCATCCAGATATTACGGCAATGTTACTTTATTATCATTCATTCTCTCAGTGTTGAAATATTGAACAATTCAAAAATCAATTTCTCACATTTTATTTTATCCCTTTTACATTTCTAGTAAATTAAGGTTATGTCCCTTGAGAAAAAAAGAAATGAGGAAGAGCACCTTAAAATATCTGAGCACTATCTCAACAACTACAGATACTTGGTTGCGTAGGCTTCCGCGGCTGGAGTTTATGTTGGCTGGGCTATCCGGGACGAGCCGCGTCGATGTCATGGTGGCTAATGTTTCGGCCAGCGTATTGTGGCCTTCTTCAGAGCGTACTGCTGAAGCAGTACACAGCAGTCGGCAGTACGCTCTGAAGAAGGCCACAATACGCTGGCCGAAACGTTACCCACCATGACATCGACGTGGCTCGTCCCGGATAGCCCAGCCAACACAACTACAGATACTTTTTGAAATTTAAAAATGCCACCAATGTCATCAGAACTAAAATTTTGAATGTGAGTGACATTTACAAAAGTTATTCAATTTTATAATATTCTTAATTGCAACCGGCCTAATATTTCAAGATTTCGTAATTTTCATTGTTGTGTTACTACCAGTTACAAAGACACTACCCATCTATCTCTGGTAATTTCCATTTAACTTTAATTACAATTAAACTGGATTGCTAGTTCTAAGGAGAAGCCAAGTACAAAGCATAGTGAAAATTTTAGTCTAAAAACATAATGAATAATATATTACGGTAATAAAATTATGAAATAAAACTGGAGATGCGAGATACAGCTATTTGAAGAAGAACAACTACATCAAGATGACAAGTGTGAGTGAACAACACAACACAAGACAAATAGTCTTAATTCATTCTCATTTCTGAAAGAAAAGTTTGTTAAGATTATTTGTTTGAAATAAATGTATTTTATATACAAATGATGTTGCAAATATCTACTAGAATCACATTAAAAAAATTGGAGAGGCCATTGGCTCCCACTAGTTCTGTCACTACTAAATAAAAGTAAAATCAAAAACAATTCTTATAAATTAAAATATTGATATTTGAAACTTTATTTTGCATATTGTTTCAATTTCAACACTGAGGAATGTTACATCCTAGCATACAGAAATGAACCAAAATGTAAAGGCAAATTAACACAAGGTGTGCACACTTATTTGGTATAAAAATCATGGCACTATTGCATACTGAGCTCTTATTTTTAAAAACAAATTAACAATTTGGTATTCACAAAAATTTATTTAACAAAACAAATATTTGCACAATCAACTCATTTGCAATATCAATAAAGGTGAAAACTGTTAAAGCCTTCAAAATACTTTATTTTGGACGAATACCTACAATAAAATAAAACCAGAACTTAAATTACAACCAAATAAAGCAAATAAAGATATTGTGTGAACAATACCAGACATTAAGATATTTATAACACCTCCAACATACATACCTTTACATTTTCATAGGCAGATCCAACTCTTTCTTCAAAAGAACGAAATGATTCAGAGTTTTTAAGCTGACCCAGTTTGCTGGAAACACTGGATCCTAAACCACCCAAAATGGAAGTAGTTTTCTCAGCTGTTGTTTTGACAATTGATTCAGTCTTCTGATAACTGCAATAATCACTTTCTTAAAAAAAAACTGACTATTCTATTATGATACTGAAAATATAATTCATTCACAACTTCTACCAAACCCAAATTACAACAGAACATTTGGTCATTTCATGCACAAAATTCCACACACAAAACTGTAGTGAATAATTAAAATTTACAAAAACTGAGTGAATGCATGTCCTCTACTGAAGGATTTTTCTAAAGGGCAAATGCAATTAAAAAATATTTTTGAAATTGTAATGGCAGGAGAAACTTACCCGAATATCCTTATGCTTTTTTTCATAAAATACCATTTCAAATTAATAACATTTCTTTAAAATTTACACACACAATTTATATCAATCAAGTAAGCAAAATATTGGATTACAATATATTTGATATGACCGAACATCCTGCTCCCTTTCCCACACTGCTTGAGACATTTACTTACATCGGAGCTTCAGAGACTGCTTTCCCAAACTGGCCTATCTTCTCTTCGACATTATGATAACTGGCATAAGCAAAACAGAAAATGTACACCACAGAACAGAAAGAGTAAAGCAAACTCTACCAAATTAAATCAGGTTACAAGAGCTGCACAAAAAGAACTGCAATATTTATTTTGAGCTATCACCATTTTAAGGGTCTATCCTTCAAATACTGTTAGACTTCATTACAACTTTAACTGCCCAACAACATTATTTTGAAATTGCAATATTCATAATTTAAATATTTAGTCCTTTTAGGAAAAAACCCTGAACACTTTCTTCAAAAATCTTTGTAAATGAAAATTTATTTTCATATCAACAACCTTTTTCCAACACCAACAGCTTCTAATCTACAACTAATCTAAGGACCTGTGTTGAGAAAGGAATGAAAATGAAAGGATTGGAAGAATGATTAATTTTAGTAAGCAAAAAATGTTAAGCTTCATATCAGTAGAATTATAAAAATATTCCAGATTTCAGAATCCTAAAACGTATATTACTTCAGCAATAAAAATAATTCACTTTCCTTTTACTTATCTTTTAAATATCAGCAGAAACCATTATCCTTTCCCGAAAAATAATATTAAATCAAAATTAACAAACTCCCAGTTTTCAATTGATCTGCTTTGATCAGTTCACGAATGACACGCTAATGAACATCCGATTTCCAAAGTAAACAAATCTTCATATTACAAAACGGGAACGAAGTGACTATCTCAGATTATCCTTCGTCTCTAAACTTCAGCTTTGGTTACAAAATATTTTTCTTTATTCAAGTGGAAGTTTTGCCTTCACAACAGCTGTTAGTGATTCATTGAGGAATAAAACTAATTGAAGTATGCTGAACTTTGAAATCCATTACAGCTCCCCCCGCTTTTTTTTTTTTCGCTAAGAGATGAAAAGTACTAGACTAAATTTGCAAAACATTAGTTTTAACTTATCAGGTAGTCCCTAAAGAAATTAATGCATGGTGAATAAATTGGAAACATTGCAGTTCTATTTGTTTTAAACAATATTAAACATTGTAACAATAAATTAAATAAATTCATGCTTTATATATTTCCCCCAGCATACATGCACAGAGACAAGCCATTGGCAAAAAGCTTTTATATTATAAAACAAATAATTTTATAATTTTTGGATAAAAACATTACACTGAAACAATATTTGGAAAGGAAGATCATGCAATATGATAGGAAAAGTATTTTATTAACAGTGCCAAATAAGGCAAAATTAAGGTAAGAAAATTCGTAAATAATAAGAATAAAATGCAAAATAAAATTGAAAAATTATGGGATGAATATCTGACTATTATCCTGCTCCTTTCGAATACTCAGCAGTGTAAACCTGTTCCATGGCGAGAATTACAAGTATCATACAAGAAAGGAAAAATGTACTTACACATTTGACTCTCTAACATTGCGAATGCCCTGCGACATATCATCTTGGAATTCCTTCCAAACAGTGTATCCCAATTTACGTTTTAAATCACCAGCCTTCTTCTGCTTGTTAGCCAAAACTTCCCGCATGGTCCTAATTTCTTCTTCAATCTACAGAACGAAAAAATTACAATCACTACCCTAAATCGCACAACGAGGGCAGGTATGTGGAAGCAAGTCTGAATGTACCTTGGCAAGTTCTTGCTGCCACTCTTGCCTCTGCCTTTCTTGCTCTTCCGGTGTCAGCCCTTGAAGCTCATTGATACCAGAGTCGGGCGACATGTCAACTCCCGCAGAAGCTTCCTCGGCTGAAAGGAAACAAAGTCATTGTGACAAATTCCCGACAAGCAGCAACATCCCCACTGACACGGCACATCCGGTAGCGCACGTTCCTTTCCCGAGCGTTTCACCTTTGACCAACTGCAAAAACCTGTGGTAATTGCGCGGGCTGGTAACGCGCGCCAGGTAGGGTTTGGACACGTCCTGGAACATGACCCGCACGCCGCGGCCCTTCTTGTTGGCGGCCTTGAGGTAGAACTCTGCCTCGACGGTGCAGTTGTCGTCGACGACGCTCAGCGTGTCTTCGATGCCCAGGGGCAGGCTGCCGCCCGTCTCGCTGTTCTGCGTGACCAGCAGGTACGTCTCCTCGTCGTCGTCCCAGCACTGGTCGAAGGTGGGCGTCCCGGCCGCCGCGATGCACGAGTAGTAGCAGTCCTCCTCGTACTCCAGGGAGGCGGGGCCCTCGGCGGCGGCGCCGTCCTCGTCCAGCCCGGCCGCCTGCTTGGGCCCGTCCTCTCCGTTGTTGTTGTCGACGACGGCGGCGGGGCCGCCTGGGGTCGCCATGGCTTCGCGCGTCAGGCCGTCATCTCCAGCCAGCGCCATATGGCAGGCGGACGCTCATCTGACAGCGGCGCCGAGGCTTCAGAAGAAAGCACATCGACGGCGCGGCGGAGGCTTTCGGCGCTGGAATCCTCGTGCCACGTCGCGGCGGTGCAGGCGCGCGTGGTCAGCGAACCAAGGACGGCGCGTCCCCCATCCCGCTTTCCAGCCCCCGCTCCTTTCTACCTGCCACGTCGAGCTCCGCCGGCGGGCGGGCGGGCGAGTGAGCGAGCGAGCGGTGGACGGACAGTCGCCGCACGGCGATTCGGCGGCGGGGGAAGGGAATTCGCCGGGCGCCGCCGTGTGTTGCACGGCAGCCCGTGCATGACCTCTTTTTGCGCCGTTTCTTCTCGCGACGCGACCCGTCGCCTAGCGGTACCTGCATTAGTCACCGTCGCCGCTCTCGCGCGAGCAACTGGCGTGGGTGGCTTCGGAACGTGAAATATGGAGCAACTGGGATGCACGGGGCGGCCTTGGGACCGCCTCCAAAGACGACGCACTTGGGGGGGCATAAAACCATCACCGCCAAAAATTACGACTTTCTGGGTCGGCCTGGAACTGCTCTCAAATTTTCAGCTAAAGCACATTTTCTGAGACAACTTCTACAGTAAAAATTAAAACATGAAATGGGAAAAGTTGTATGAAATATTCCTCCTCTATGTCTTTTGAATTAAAAAGACAACTGTCCACTTATTATGGATTCAATAAATTGGCAGCATTATTATTCAATTATTAAATTGGCAGCATTATTAATTCACTATTACTCTTAGTTGAATAATAATAATAAAACAGGTGCATAACACAGAAACAAAGTTTTGATTACACAAATTCCATGACACACTACACATCTAACATTACAATAAACGCCTACAAATTTTATTAATATTCTTGAAAAAATCTAAAATCATAAAATTAAGACTACAGAAATTTAGAATGATTAATGGAAATAGCGAATATTATTTTATTAATAACATTTTAAAGGCAAGTTATCATTTATGCTCTGCCTTTTGTGTCAAACGTATGAGATTACACAATTCCAGATAAAAAAAATTCTCTATAAGGGCCTATTACCTATACTCCCATTCTTATACAAAGTCCAAAATTCCAATTGTGTTCGATGGCACAACAGCGAAAAAACTGGTATTAATCATATCTCGTTTTTACTTACAACAAATTATCTTTAAATCAAATGAACCCAATAAACCAGTCACACACGACCATCTATTGACAATCTAGTGTCAACTACAATGAGGAGGTTAACTGCCAACTCAGATGCTGTTTCCAACGACTGAGCAAACTTGCACCATTCCAAATCCTCATTAGAGTTATGGGATGTATTTTTTTACGTAATGTATATGTTAAAACGTCCCTCAGAAACAAGTTAATTAAAAAGAGAAAATACACAACTAGCAATAAACGTCATTCATCTTCCTTTACACACCCCACCAGATGGAGCAGTACCGGTTATGAAGACGTAATAAGGAAAGTGAAACACACCAAAAAACACTTCACACTAGATAATACAGTAACCACCAAAATCCTTATGCACATTTATCTACGTTGATTACATTTAAAAGTGAAAAGACTGAGACGTAGGTATAAAAAACGCAATTATCACCTGTAGCAATGTCGCTCATGTTTCTTGGTCCTGAAAGCAAGGCGATATCCAAATTAAGACTTGAGCTCGACTGCGACAATGCACCTTAGCAATGCAGATAATCTGCACCTCAATTATACGATCGACCGGGGTGTCGGGCAACCACAATTCAATGTTCGGTTCAACCACTACATGCAGTCCACCACTCGCGAATCGCAACCACCGCAACCGCTTGACGTCCTGGCGACCGCTGCTGATTTTGTTGATGTCACAGAGAAGGCAGGTCACGAGGTACTGCCTCGCTGGCGCTGATGGTGCGCTCTATAATATTTTATAATTAAACATTTCGTAGAAGAGTTCGAATATTTCGATTTTCTTACGAAATTTGATAATTTATCGCAGTCGTATGTTGGCCAATTTCCAGGAAAATTATATAATTTGTGTATTTCTTAATTTTCAAGAATTGCCTTAACATTTTCAAGTTTTTACGCAGACTTGAATTAAAATTATGTTCCTACATAAATATTAACCATGAAATAAATTCGTAGTGTAATTAATTCGAATTCTCAATTTTTATTATTTTTTTTTCATTACTGGTAGTAATGAAATAGTAATTTTCTAAGTTCATCCTTTTGTGGTACTTTGTCTCCATGCAACAGAGCTTAAAGGCTTTACACTGCCTTCCTTCCATCATATTGTAATTTTTAATACCATAAATGAAGCTACTTGAAATAAAGAAAAAGGTTCATTTGCCACAAATTTCATAGAGATGTGCTTCTTTTACTCCAAATATTGTGGCAGTTTATTCTGTAGAACTACTAGATAATCAAATGTGAAAGTTATTCATAGACAATATAGAATTATGTGTGAAATATTAAGAAGATTGCAGTCATTAAATAATATATTTGATGTTAAGTAGCTTAGCGATGAATGTTCACCATGACAAGTGCTGTAAAAATGTAGTTAGTTGCTCAACATCTGTAAAGATAATATGTACAAAGATAATATGAAATTCATAGAGTAAATGAAAAATTGTTTTAATGAAGCACGAGCATTGATCTTTACAGGTTCAAATGGACAATTTTCTCCTGGAGGATAAGTTCAAAATTTACAAAACAATTAAAAAAGTGAACAATTACAAAATCATGACAAAACCACTGGCAGAGCATTTAACTATTAACAAATTGAAGAGGGAAATAAAGGAAGGCCTGTTGTTTTGCTTCTGGACATACATTCAGCTTCATTATGTACATAATTTGTTGAACTCTAATTTTGCTAGATGTGGTAGGAATAGAGCCAGGGTGGGGAAATGGGTTGTTATTTTGTTAGTAATACAATTAAATCAAACCTAGAATTTGTTTACTGGTGAATACTACTGTCACTTGGATATTGTTAAGGAGTGAAAACTTTTACTAACCATGTTTAATGATTCTTTTATTCATAATTCAATTATGTGTAGTAATGTATGTATAGTAAAAGGGTGAGCTAGAGTCTCAAGAAAACATGCAGAGATGATACGTCTGCCCTTATTTCACAAATAATTGTTTCCTGATTTTGAAGAAATAAATCAAATTAAATTAAGATCATCTTTGTTTGTAAAACACCCTTTGAATTAATTCTGAGAATGCTATTTGATAATTTTCCTTTCCAAATTTCTTCCTTTAATTCAAACTATTGAGAGTGAAAATCATGAATAGGGCATATAGAAATGGATTTATTGTGTCCCTCATGAAGACAAGTTCATACTTTTCCAAAACAGCACATCAAACTCTTTAGGGGACTTTTTCATCGTATGAATTTTTTTTTAATACTAACTTGTTTGTCATATTTGTTTTTGTTTTCATTGATTTTGTTGGTGAAATTTGTTTTAGTTATATTTTGAATTTGAAATTATTTATTTGAAGACACTCTTGATACTTTACTCTTTCTTTCCAATAATAATAAAATATGTCAATAATAGGCTATTGTTCCAAAATTATTGTCAGAAATGCCACCATGTTTACATTTATTCACTTGTCAGCTGGTTTCTCAGTGGATTGCATTATTTGCTCACTTCTGTTGATTCATGTGTTGATACACATGTCATTAATGCTTGATTAATTTTCATGCACATTTATCATATTCAGCCAGATGTTTTAGTCTTAAATACGTACGTGGGAATAATAGAATGCTATGTGCTTCTTTGTTTCATAACTAATGAATTATTCATTCTTATTTGATTTAATATACTAAATTGATTATTTCCTTGACTTATATTGCTCTTTTAAATGTTCTATTATAAAATCTATTATCCAGTTGTTAAACAAAACAAATCCAACTATCCACGTATATCTTGATTTGGAGTTTCGCACTTCTTGAAATCAGTCAAGTAAAGTAATTTTAAAAGTGACATTATTTGTGTGTGTGTGTGTGTGTTTGGGTGGGTTTTTGTTTTTTCTTTTTCTAATTTAGATGTGATAAACAAATATATATCTTTTACATAAGTAAAAAAGTGAACTCATCCTTTTTTGCTTCTTTGTAATGGACATCAAATGAAGGGCTTGGGGCTATAAGAAAATAAGCCTCATCAACCACAGAAAGTCTACTGCTATTTGAAAATGTTAATGTCTTTAATTTGGTCCAACTGATCTAGTCCTGCCTAAGGCCTTCATACACATGAATAAGACTTATAAGCTTCAAAATAGTATTATTCACAAAAAGCAGGCGACATCCTATGGCTGATGTAGTGTATCTTGATACTACTCCAAGTCCTTCAATTATTTTATAAGTTAAAGGAGAACCAATCAAGAAATTATTTGCAATAATAAAAAAAATTACACAGATTTAAAGCTTATTTGTTTTAATAGAATCTTTTCATTACAGGTTCAAAAAGGGTTTCTTTGATGTCTTTGGTAGAAACAAATTATCATTTTACTATTATTATTATTATTATCATCACAAACAGTAAGGGTACCCAAACTTGAAACTTATTTTAGCACATTAATTTTAGAAAATAATTCAATTTTCTTTCATCATTATCACCATCTTTCACCCATACATACGTCTTATAAATGAGAGTAAGATCATTTATATTTATTTAAATAATGGATTGTTGAGTCTACAGGGATATTGACCTGTTCCTAGCAATTCCAGTAGTCTCTTAAAAGAGTTAGTAAAATGTTAATTTTCCCATCTCTTTCATGGTGAGCCTCTATCTTCTTTTCCTAATGGCTTCATCTTCAGTATATTAGTTTTATTGTGCATTTGTAATTTTGTTTCATTCATTGTACATATTACTGCCAATTCTTTTGCCCTTTTGCTCAATTGTTACAAACAGTTCCCTGAAAACAGCAAGAAAAGAAAAGGTATCTAAAAATAACTTACATATTCATTATAGAGTGCATGAATCTTACATCTTGTATTGTTATTATTAATTATAATCTAGAAATATGACAAGTTGGGTAAGTCCTTCTCTTTCAGTACATTGCAGCCGGGATGAGAGGATCTTAAACTCAAGATGCACCTCTTCTGTTACATCAGCGATTAGAAAAGGATTTTGCAAACATGACACTTCTGTAGAGGTAACCCACAAGTAAAACATTTTTTAAAGCTTTACAAGATAAAAATGACATTTTTGGAAGAAACAATGAAAAATAAGAAAAGATAATTAAATTTCAGCACAACTAACACTACCTGATTTAATCAGTATTTCACTTCCTGAGATGAATATTTGTATAGGAGGGACCCCCCAAAAATTTTTTGGAGACTGTGTGACCTGCCTTCCATTAGTTTGAATTCACTGCTGTGTCAAATTAGTTACTGCCTCATATTACTTTTTTGTTGTAAAAGACACTAGAACAGGAACTTGTTGCTTTCTCCGGAAGCCCCTACAATCCCTGGTCCATTGAGCAATCGCTGGCTCTTTTTTTTTTTGGCCATAAATGTAGTTTCACTATATGAATGTTTTGTTAAACTTCCTTTTGCTAGTTGTGGTAAGAGTAGAACCAGAGGTGTGGATTGCAATTTTTGTAGGAAAAAAGCAACAACATAAACAAACTGTAGTTCATTTACCAATGGATGTAAGTTTCCTACAACTTGGGAGTGCAAATGTTCAGTTTGGAAATGTTGCTAACCTCATTTTGTTGGCACTTTTATTCATCATTGAACTGTCTACTAAAAGCGTGGGGAAGAGATTCTGGAGCTCATGAAAACATGTAGAGATTATACTTCTCTCCCATATATTGCATACAATTTTTACTGTTCTTTGAAGAAAATAAATCAAATAGTTTGAAAATTAAATGAGCAGTTGGTATATTTCAATGATGAACACTGGAGGGATTGGGTTGACAGAAATTGCACTCTGTTTTCATTAAATTATTTTTTAACATACAACTAACAATGAAATTCATATACATATACATTTATATTTATATATATGTGCATATGTGTGTTGCACACAGTCACAAATACTACTCAACCAATTTCACTGAAATTTTCACTTCTTATCGGTTCTTACATTCCATTACTTATTAGTTATGGAAGTGTTTAAAGAGTGGTCTCAATTAAATCGTCATGTGGGAGCATTGTTGATGATTTATTCTTTCATGACAACTCAAGCACCGCTGAACTCTATGCAACCTCATTGTCAAGGATTATTTTCTTAGGCATGTCTTCACTGCATATAAGTACTTTGCGTCTTGCGATTGTGAAATAACATATGGAATTAGCATTTGAATTTGGACAAGTAAATCAAATTTCTCCAAGATTGTGTCATAATGAACGCATGCCAAAATTTAAGGGAGAACATTTTAACAATAGAATACTTGACAACCATGTCCAAATCAGGACCGAGAACAAACCCATACTTGAGAGAAAGTCATTCATCTATTAGAATTTTTGCACAGTATAGCATCAAACGTTTAATTAGCACATGATGGGTGGCACATAGTGGGTGATGTGTAATACTGTAATAGCAGAGCATTGCTGGGTCCACTAGAAATTTTAGAATTCAGTTTGACTTTTCTGAAATCATTTTTCATAAACTATTTTAAAAAAATTACATTTATTAAGTGAAATATGTATATAGAAAGCGATATTAAGTTGTTTCATTTTATTTGCTTGTTTAGAATTTCCTGAAAGAAAGAGTATATTAATATGATTTAAAGAAAATGTATTCAGAACCTACTATTTTATTTCTCCATTTTGATTCCAAAGCACAAATAATTCACCTCAAAAATTGACTTAAAACAAGATAAATAAAACTCACAACTATTCACAAGCTTTTAATCAGGTACTACAATATACAATAATGACTTACATGTACAATGATTACTGTACTAAAATTTCATATAAGGTGAAATAATGTTACTTACTTAGTATTAAGAGGCATGATTAATTTAATTAAGAATTGGGAGCAATAATTTTATTACATTAATGTATACGTTCTGTCATAAATAAAACAAACTTTTCTCTTATGCATGAATAACAAAGATGTAAATTTTAATACAACAATAAATTCAATTCTCAATCCTATCAACCTCAAAGGCATATCATTTTTCTTCTATTTACAAGGACAGTCAAGCAAAATTGCTGTATATAACTGTACTAATTTTACTGCACCTTATCGTTATAATTAGTGAAGTTTCATTGCAGTTTGATTCACTTCAGAAGTAAATCCAGTCTTACAAAACACACATCTCTCACACATTTACAAAATAAAATATGGCCTTACAAATAATCCAACATAACTTATTTCTATGACTTGTAGATAAAAATATTTACAAAGTGCAATATTTGGTCATATAAATCATTTGGTTGAAACACATTCAATTTCATCACCAATGAAAATCAATTAACTGGTGTTGTGTTATTTCCATTTCTGTGATGACAGCGAAGAATCCATTGGGTATTTGGGTTTTCTTTATAAACAGCCATCATATTAGCATTTGGCTCCACTTGACGTTGTGCTGTTAAAAGATAGACAGCAGGGTGATGTTTAATACTAATACAACAATACACTAACATTAAGTATATGAGCAAAGTTATCACAAACAACTCTTACCAATATTGCCTCCAATTTCATACAGGAAATGAGTTTGCAAAGTCAGTTCTGGGTATCCTGAAGCCAAAATGCAACTGAGATTACCATTTGGAGCCAGTTCAGCTAATGCTCTTGATTTATCATGATATCGTCGAGCAACTTTGAGTCCACTATTTGACATATCTGCTCTTCTAGTAGCCTCATCCACAATCCTAGACAGAGAGAAATAACAATTTTACAAAGTAACATCAAGCTCTCTAGAGTTTGAAAAGCTTATTAGATACAATGGTTGGTAAATATTTTAAATTAGAAATTTCTTTACCTGAGGACTACATCACCTGCTGTTGTGTTTGAGGCTAGCTGAATAGGCATTTCAGGCATTTGGAATTGGGGAGCATTCACTCTGATCACTCCATCTTGAAAATCAACTTCATTGTCTATTTTCCGCATTATCTGCTCTCGAATACCAGATTTCTTACCCAGAAGCTTTTTCATCTAAATGAAAGAAGAAATAATGAGGGTAGAACAATATGTTAAAAATAGTATTCAAGTATTAATTATTGTAATAAGTGCATATTTCAAATGAACGGTGTGAGTTAGTTTGCAAACACTTTTCTTTTACCAAACAAACTCAGTACCTACACCAATAAGTAGAAAAACGGTGTGGAATATTTTAGAAAAAAACAACTGATTTCTATAGGGAGAATCAAGACAAAAGGAAGCAAGCATTTTTAATTTCTTAAGAGTTTAATTGCAAATTACAAAAATATTGTTATCTGATGATCAAGATTAGACAGTAAAATGAAAAATGTAGAATTTTAGAATTTTATACAAGTATGGAATTCAATTTATTTAACACGGAGAAAGATGTGATGATTTAGGGTGAACATTGAAGTAATAAAGAAATAAAACATCATAAAGACAATGAATTGTATAACCACCCCTTTTTGTAAAGTTTGTAAAAAAAGAGCAAGGAATCATTTGTCTAATGGTAAAAAGCCAATAGTACTGGAAATTATCAAAATGGTCTTACAGGTTTGCTATTTTCCTTGTGGCCTCTACGATAGCGTTCTTCTTCTTTCTGCCGACGAATCTGAGCAATCAAGTCATCAGGAACCACCCATAACTTGTCTCCTTCTTTCAACATAGTCTCTGTAAGACGACAGCATGTAGCAGCCAAACTCACTTGAGCATTCAGATCATTCTTGTCTGGCGGGTGAACATATCTAAACAACAAGATTAATAGTGTGAATTTTTCTCAAACAATTTCATCTAGACTTTAAAATTACTTAATTAAAAAAACTTCACAATAAAATTGTCTCTGATATTAATGCCACATTACATACCGTGGTGTGAAAAGTGATGGCGCAATAATCATTGCAACATTGTGAAGAGTCATTTTATTTAGAGATTGGTGTTGGATTACAGCCAACAAAAATGAAAACAAGGCCCTTAATGTATGACGATTTTCTGGAGGAAGCAATAACACTAAAATATTGAGCGCTCGAGACTGGATGCCTCCTTTCTCTGGTAATCCTGTCAGGCAAAAAACAAATAATAATAATAATAATAATAATATCATCATCATAATAAGGATAATAACAATAACAACAACAACAATGATGATGATGATGACGATGACGATGACATTCACAATCATCATGATAATAATGGCATGGGTAATAATGGCAAGAATAATAATGATGATAATGACAATAGTAATAACAATAACAATAATAATATCATATAATACTGTTTCACAGCCAGCTCCACACCAATAACCTATTTTGAATCGAAAATCCTGAAAAAATTATGCATAGAAAAAAGAGACACACCACTCAACGTTATATGTAGTATACAGTGAAGAAAGAATGGAAAAAGAACAATTTGGCTTTCTGAAAGAAGAAGGTACCACAGATGCAATTTTCATTCTAGACCAAATAGTAAAAAGATGTCAACAAAACTTGCTCATGTTTTAGCTCTTCCAGGTTTCAGTCTTTGCAGACTATGAAAAAGCATATGACAAAGTGGATAGAAACAAACTATGGGAAATTCTGGACTCTAAAAACTCTAACAAAGCTATCAAAATCCTACACAAGCAATCAGAAATAAAAATCCAAAACACAGATGGAAAAATCACAACAGCAATCCCCACAAAAGTTGGACTCTGACAAGGATATAGGTACTCTATTGCCACTCCTGTTCACTATCCCTGTGAGCCACATGGTTGGGAAATGAAAAACAGAAGCAAACAGAGGCATGCACCTTGCAAGAATCAAAGAAATAAAAGCCATATTCAATGACAGATGACTAAGTCAGTTTGGGAGCAGCTGAAAATCATTTACAAGACCTTCAACTTGAAGCTTTCAAAATGAACACAATTAGTGAGCAATATGACATAAAATTTCAACAGAAAAAAAAACACAATGGGTTTCAAACGAAAAGAACACTGCAGAACCAAAATAGTAACAGAAGATAAAATTGCAGAATAAGTGACAATCTTCAAGGATTGTCTTACCAAGAAAATAAGATAGATGTGTAAGAAGACAATGTAGATATAATATTGAAAAGATATAATAGAATAAATGAACCTAATTATTATAGATTTGAGCAATTCCTAAAAATGCAAAATGTTACTAAACACTGAAAAAATTAATAATTGTATGTTTAACAGTCAGTGTAGCATATTTCTGAAGGTTTTCAATCTGTGATAAAATGTAAAATTGATCAGAAAATGTGTACGAAATGGGTGTGAATCTGCAAAATAATTGCTAAATAGCCTTGTAAGGTTTCCTTCGTGTTCGCTCTCTAACAAGGGATGCGCCATCAACAATAACACATCGATGTTTGAAAACATTAAAATTGAGAGTGGCCATGTTCATTAATTTATAATTATGATTTAACAGACAAAACAAAGTAAAAAATAATAAAAACATATACAGAAACTATCCTAAGTGCTTAGGTTTATCTCAAGGGGTCTCAACTTCCTCAGTTCACTGTTCGGAGTTCACGGGAAGAAGAGGAAGCCTATGGCCCAAGCATTACTTCTTATGCTTCTTACACTTTTTAATCTTTGTTGAACTTTAGAAATGAAAATTATTAAGAACTTTAGAAATATGAAATTAGTTTCTCTTACTTCCTCATTTTAATGGCAAACAACTAAAAAGCATCAAAATTTTTTTTTCTATCTCAGAGAGTCCTCCCTAAATAATAATTTTCACAGAACTGCTACAAAATGCTACATCTTAATTTTTATAATGCAATAAAATGCTATTGTCTTGTTTTCACAATTCAAGTTTTAAAATTTACGATGCTAAATTCACCACTACCCATTATGGAAATGTGGATTTTAAAACAAAAGTAGATTAGAAGCAGCCCCTGATAATGAGCTCACTAATAGGAGTATGAAGAAAAGAAAAATTAGGAAATTAAAACATAAGAAAAAATCTGAAAATTAAAAACATAGTAAATGAAATAGAAAGATACTAAAGGAAATGGAAAGATCATATAAGAAGAATGGAAACCATTCTCAAAACATTCCTGAAATACAGGTCTAGACAAAAAAGAGAACCAGGCAAGTGAAGGAAAAGATACTAGTACCAGAAACATCTCAGCAACAATTGAGGGAATACTGAATCAAAGGAACTGGCCACTTAATAGCCTATTTGATGATGGTAATAATGAACATAATGATCATGAATAGGGGCGGATTTTAATGAAATGTTTTTTCTTTTCGCATTAGAACAATGCCATTTAGTATACAAATTTATTTTCTGTTGTGACAAATGGAAATGATCCAATTTTATGTCATCTTTTTGCATTTTTCATTGATTTTGACTAATAAGTCATATTTTTAATTTTAAACGTAATTTTTAATACATTTTTCGCTGATTTTAATATCATTTTAATGGAACTTGTTTCGAACAATATTTACAAGGCGCAATAAATGTTCACCACAGTTTTCCTGAGTAGCCTATTTGATTTATTTGCTCATATATAGTAATGTCAGCCATTGTGAGTACTATGTAATCTATGATTCCTGTGATGACTATTGGTGCCATTGTCTACTCGGCCAATTTCATGATAAATAAAGGCAGAGATTTTCTTTTAAGGAACGGTCCAAAAATTTGCAAGCTGAGTTCACTGAGCAAAAGGAAGAAGCCTTAATTACATCAGTAACATACTCAACAGTTTGAATTGTTCATTGTAAGTGGTTTTGATGAAATTTTTTAACATTATTTTATATATGTTTTTGCAGCATTTTTAAAGCATTTTAAGAGCATTTTATTGATCAATTTTGGCAATGTTCTAGGTCAACCAAATCCACCCCCCTAACCATGAACTAAAGAGAAATTTTCTTTACAACTATACATTTACCATGGTATTCTTGGTAGCTATTAGCTTTCCTGTTGTTCGCATTTCTTTTGTGGACTTCCTATTGTTGTTTTACTGTTCTCTCTTGGTTTATTCTTCTAGATCAGTCTTCTCATCAAGTGATCCTTCCATTTCTTCTAAGAATGTTCTATTTCTTTTACTACATCTTTGTTTTCAATTTGTCTCTAATATCCTCATTTCTCAGTCTGTCTCTTCTTGTGTTTCCGTCGAGGTGTCTTAGGGGTTTCATAAACACTGTCTGTAGTTCTTACTTGTCCTTTTCTTTCATTTTCCATGTTTCAGAGCCATGATTTCAGCTGCTTTATTGTGGAATTTATAGGTTTGTTTCTGGGTCCATGTCTCTGCTGAAATGTCTCTTAATTGTTCCGCAAATTAAGAAACATTTATTTATTTTATTATATAGTTGCTTTTCTGTGTTCTCCAGAGTTTGTATGAACATACTTATGTTATTTACATATTAAAATATTTCCTTACAGCTGTATTATCCATCATGTTATGAATTATAATTTGTTCTGTATATTAATATATTTATAATTGTATCTATGTATTATTTTTCATTAGTAATCATGTTAATCATATCATTTCTATTTATATGTAATGTGTCTCTTCTGTGATGCAAAATAGTAGTACAGCGGATTAATCTTCATCTTAATATAGGTACAAATGTTTAGAATATTTTAGTCCAATTGCGATTTAAAGCTTATATTATATTTCAAGGACAGTTTTGTAATATCAACTTCTCTCTAAAATGCACATTCTTCCACATATAATAAATATTCAAACATGCCAAAAGACACAATGTAACAAAAGAAATATTCTAGTCATAATGAATGAGAAAGGCATCATATATCAGAATTATCTGGGTTTCTTATAACTGTAACAAGTACAGTGTGCCAGACAAATCTCTTCGCTGTGACATCAGTAGCTGGGGAGACTGATAGTAACAGACATTATGTAGCAGAAACTGCAGCTTATAGCAAATGAAAATACAAATTCTGTTCTCACCACAATCATAACAGATGCTGAAAGTGTTGTCCTCTTCACGTGTTTCCCAGGGATCTGGTTGTTATGATTATAAATGCAATTTTTAATAGGAGCCCCTGATTTGCCTCAGTGCATAGAGACTTTCCTGGCCAACTGTATTGTGCCTTGGCTTCTGGGTCGATGTCCCCTGATTAGGTTTTTCACTCAGTTTCCCTAATCCTTTGCGAGTTGCTGAGATGGCCTCTTGTTTTGCTTCTGAACATAAATATAACTTCATTATCTGTTCACATTCTCTTGAGCTCTGTTGGGAATGTGAATATTCAAATAATTGTCCACCATTTTCTCACTGCTGTAATTCAATTTCATCATGTAGAATGGGGAAACAAGGAATTATAGCCAAAATGTGTTGATAATTTGCCTTTGCAAATATATTTTATTACACTGGAGTGAATATTTTTATACTAATTCTTGCCACAACCGCTCATTACTATGTATTCATTATTCACCTTAATATGAAGGAGTTAGAACAGAGACCCTACAGCCCAAGAAATTGTGGAAAGTTTGCACTTCTCCACAGAGTATGTCAGACAGTTTTTAACTTTTAACTTTTTTTTTTTTTTTTTGTTAATTAAATAAACCCTAGATTGGGGTTTCCTTCAGGTGAATATTTTATAATGCTAAACATTAAATAAAAATAACTATTATAAAATAATGACAATTACAAAACGTTCCAATAACAAATTACCTTATATTATAATTATGCTTTTTATTTTTAGAGGCCAGTAGCTGCAAAAAAGGCCCTCAATGGCTCCTTGGTTAGTGTGCTCACCTTCCATGGCGCAACCCTAGGTTTGATTCCCGGTTAAGGCAAAATAATAACTCTGCGCTTTCCTTACAAATGTCTCAATACCTATAGCTGTGTACAGATGAGAAAGCCCATCCTAAGGTTATGAAGGTTTGTAAAGACCAGCATATACAGTGGAAGAATGTCTTCATGCTAACCACATGAATCCCTTATCCCTTATCCATGGCCCAGAGGCTGGGTTACTGCTGGTCGACAAAGGCCCATAGCAGGCTGTCGAGTCATAGGACAGGACAGACTGCAAAAATGTTGCTGAACAAAACCATAAAAAAATGGTTTTCCAAAAGAAAGCACACACGCAAACACAATTCTCAAGAATAACAAATAAAATACTCTTCTATAACACTGCAATAGATGAAATATTTTAACAAAAGCAACATTCACAAATACTGCAATGACATAGTACGCTACACAATATGACAGTTCTTTACACACCAAAACACCAAATGTATCAAACAAGTTGCTGCTCCATAACACAACATGTGAATAGCAAATATTTAATGATGGGTGGCCTCTTCCTTAGAGCCTTGCTGATGCCTGATATTGGCTGTGTTGTATGGAGGGATGCACTGGGAATCACAATTCAGTTGGTATGAGTAGTACCAGAATAGGTGGAATAACGCAATGAAATATTAGCATTTTTCACTCGAAATTGAAACTGTTTCATTGTTTCAGTATTTTTTCCAACTTCTGGGTATCTAACAAAATCATAGAACCTCTCAGATTGCCAGAGGTTGAATAGTTTTCTTTCAATTTTTGCATGAATTGAAAATTAGCAATCTAGAAGATTTATTTTTCGTTTTTGCAATCGTAATTTAAAGAATTTTCTCAGTCAAATAAAAAAAGAAAATAGAAGAATGGGAAAAGTAGAGTTAGATCATGAAATATATATAAAAGTTCTATATGAAAAATTGAAATACGGCAGAGGATTCTTTCCGAACACTTACCATGGCACTGGTAGAAGAGGTCTATATACTCCACTGTGAGCAGAGGCTGAGGCAAATCCCGCAAAAGCCTCTTCAGTAATCCAGCCAAGTCATGGCAGCTCACAGTCTGCAAGAGCTGTTCAATGCGGTCAGGTTGGCGATAGAAATCAGCTTCAAAGGCCTGATATAATGTTTCTACTTTTTGTTGTAAACCTGCTACTCGCAAGATACCTTCCTCTCTCACCCCAATTTTCTCAAGGTGAGATAAAACCTATGAATTAGTAAATCAAAATTAAAAATTGATGTGTATTTGTGGCATTCAATAATTTTCTTTACCAAAAGAAGAGAAAAAAGATTTAAATTTCATTCACATTGCACAATTATACCTACTTTCTGAAAGACTAGAGGTATTGAACATTCTTCATTGGTTATTTGTCGATCCTTAGCAAGTAACATTGCCAGTGGAACACCAAAAACATTACCTTTAAAATAAAAACATGCAATTTAGCATACAAATGATTGAAAAAATTTCAAGGAAAACATCTCTTCAATTGGAAACTTACCATCTTTACGCTTATGTTTGGGTGTCTTGCGTTTATTAAAGGTGATATTGTAACTATCAAATAATGCAGTAACTTCCAACAAGAGCAAAGGTCTCAAACGAAACAGATCTTCATCTCCAAGAAATTCAACCCAAGTGCGTCCAACACTGCTTTTCAAGGTTCCAGATGTCTATAACATACATAATATGATTCATAATCTCTTAATTTGTATGATTTTTTCTTTGTAAAATTGTATAAAACAAAGATGGAAACAGATGCATTTATGAATTAAGAACTACATTTTACAACATTTTAATTGGATTTTCTAGCCAAGTCATGCGAGACAATTTTAATACTGAAGTGTTTATAAAAATTAAAGATAGTACATGAAATGTAACAGTAAAAGACAAATATCAATGCAAATGATGGGATTTGCATTAACAAAATCTAGAAAATGGGGTTGTATGTGTTTCAATTATTTTAACTGGAAGAACATTCAAATATTGTAATAATTACTTGAATAAAAGTGTTAATTCAATGTAAAGGTAACTGGAACATGGCACATCATCTCCATTCTAGTGCCACTCCGCTTGATCATAGGCCCTTATGGGGTAGAACCCTAACCTCTAACAGCACCTTAATATATGAATCAAAAGTGAATAAATTCCCCTTCTCCACAGTATTACTGTGGAGGGGACAAAAGAACTTCTACATGGGTCAGCATAGGCTAATGCATAAACATGGCATTCTTTAACCTTTTATATCGAACATAAAATGAAAAGTAAGAATAATATGCATTTCTCAGTTTGATTTATTTGATTTGAAGCAATTTTAATAATATTTTTAGATTAAGCAAAATATCGAACCTTCATAGAATTATTTTCTTCTGTGGGGTAAAGGTGGAATTTACTTCCTGTATTTTGTTGACATATTTCTTCAAATCCCAATTGACCATGAGAACCTGAGCGCCTCAAGGCTGACTTTGTCGGAGGCACCCTTGGCAGACTTGGACTTTCTTTCTGATCAATGTTATACAAATTACTGTGACTTCTTGTGACGGTGATATGATTTCTAGAAAGAAACGGCTACTTAAGAAACAATTCTCTTTTATTGCAGTGTATTTACTACCATGCAACAAGTAAATAATAATTAATTCACATTTATCATAGAGAAATATTGTTATTTTATTTATGTTTCTATCAGAATACCATTTCAAAATAATCAAAGGAGAATGGCTTTGAACTGATTGAACTGAAAGTTTGAAATAATTGAAATTGAGAATTTTGAACTGAAACAACTGTCAAATAGAAAGTCTAAAATTAATTTTAAATTAATTTTAAATTAATTAATTTACAGAACAATCAATGCAAGATAAACCAAAAAGGGTGCATATAAATGAATTTTTTTAAAAATCATTAAATTAATCCTTACACTTGGATGATACATACTTTTGAAGTTTGCTTCTCCCTGGAGAGTGAATTCCATTGGTCCCATTCAAAGTCCCTTTGTTATTTGAAATGTAATGACCATTGTGGTGGCTACTGCTTTCATCTGTAGGATCACTACCACTTCTGCCTCGATCTCTTGGACGTGGCAAATGGATGGTTCCAATAGGTTGATAGTAGAGCATCTCAATTCCTTCAGCTGAAGAAAAATAAAAATCATTCAAAATTTTTCAGTTCTTTGTATTCAAAATTTTGAAGAGGATCTCTGATTAGGAACTTGCAAAGATGTTTGTAATGAGCCTCTTTATTCTAATATAATTTGTTTGTTTGTATACTGTTGTTACACTTGTCAACTCAAAAATGTATCCAAATACCATTCAACTCAATAATGTATCCAAATTAAAGATAAAAACAATTACTTTGAAAAGGGAAAGATTAGGATCATATTTTAGAAAGGAAGGGAAAATGATTCCATAGTTAAACATATTCTTAGGATAATCATCAGGGAACTCTAAACATTACCCCACACAACAGAAGCACAATTTCATAACACATTACATGTAAGGATTATTCAAGAATATTCACCAGAATTGCCAGCTAATGATCCTTTATGACTGCCCCAAGCACCAGGATGGCGGAAGACCATGGCATGACTGTTCGGTAAGGATGTACTTGGCTGGCGTCGCAACACTTCTTTAACAGTTGTGATATGGCTGTCAGGCCGATCTGCTGGAACATTTCGAACTACTGAGATGGTTGGTGTAGGGTAGGACCATAGCCGAGGGGGACTGCTGTTTGCAAGTTCTATGTCGCCATCACCGGGTTGCTCTGAATCTAATGAATCAGGCGTGGCACTACGGGATCGTGTGCCTGTACTCGAGTTCTGTGGAAATGAAAATAACATTAATTCAAAAATAAATATATCAAATCACAATATTTCAATTTATTTCATGCATTAAGTTTTGAATCTAGAAACTAGTGTCTCTGAGCTTTAAATAAAACAGTGGGAAGGAGAGGAATGACTTGGGTGGGTGGGACAGGGTGGAGAGAGATGAAGTCAAGTAAAGACGGTGAGGGAGGAATGAGTCATGTGGGATGAGATGGAGTGAGCCATGGTTGGGTGAGGGGGTGGATGGAAGCAAGATGGAGAGTGGTGAGGTGAAGTGATATAGGGAGGGACAGGGTGGAATGAGATGGGTGAAGTGGGGTGGAGTGGTG